ATAGGTTCAGAAAAATGTGTAGAATACCCCCCTTGTGCATTTTCCAGAATCCAAGATGGCGTCCAAAATTTCCACCATTTAGGGTTTTTCCCATAACTCTGGCTCCAGTCGAGCTAGAAACATGACTTAAATCTCTAATTATATGTTTTAATGCACAATGAATCTACTTAGGTACTTTTTGTGAGGTTTCAAGTGATGCAAGTACCTTAATCCAAGATGGCCGCCATATTTAAATACTTTGAAAGGGTCGAAATCTACAGACAGGAATGATGCAAGAATGACAAAGAATTCAAAACAAAACTTTAAACCACCGACTTGGCGAAAACATGTTAACAACACGGGACTTGATCCCGATCACGATAACGATAGTCTCGATAATGATAGTGATAGGCGATCCCTTACACTCTACCCCCGCTAAACATCCCATGGATTTTTCCACAACTTAAACAATATACAATCACTAACAAGTGCTTCCAAACGTACATCATGAACATCGTTGTATATTTAGCCATATACCTAGAAAAGCTACATTCAACTGTTAAAATATCTATCAAAAGATTTAAATATAATCAACCCTTCAAATACTGAAAGCAGCATATGACACGTACACATAATATGGTTACCTGTTTCAAAAATTCAGTGCTCAACAAAATACCCCACTAGCTACAAGTAGTACACAAATGGTATATCAAGCAAAAACAGCACTATATAGACCTAGTGCGCTACAAACATACCTGGTTCTCTCTAAAGTATGCTACCTTCAGAACGACAACTTTCAAACTAAACTTTCGCATACATTTTATACAAAACATCAAGAAATTATGCATATCCCAAACAAAATATTAATGTATTATAATAGCTAGGAGACTTATCCTATTCTCGCTATGAAACCACAAGACATTTGATGGGGTAACCGAAGTGTCTATGAACAGGACCTGACAGTACCATTTGACATCAGTCTTCTGCGTCATCAGTCAGAGCTGTTTCATCATCTATGGGTGCTTCTAGCGCCGGTGCTGTATTGTTGCAGGACTGGCCGATGCATTTGCTGCACATTGATGAGCAGAATAAGGCAAGCTTCTTGCAGCTGCATGTCATGTTGCTGCATCCATCCTGTCTGCATCCACAAG